AAGAAATTCTTGTTAAAATACGAAACAAACAAAAATCTCGCAAATTTCAAACGCAAAAAAAAGTGTAATAGTCTTTTCTGTGTCACAGTGAAACAGTACGCAGCCAAGAGAGGCCTTTCTTTGTGTATTGCGTTGTTGAAACATAATGTTTGACGGTTTCAACCGTCTGGCGCTGTGTTGACATTCCTTCTTGTATACATTTTCAGAAACAACATTTGAAACTATCCAAACAACATCGTAAACTTGTTGTGTTGAATATATCGAACACTTTATTAGTTGCAAATGTCAAAAGTAGCAAAGTTCTCCACTGCAATCGTGAATACCAAAGTGAACGGACTACTTCTATACGAATCATATTTATTGTGAAATTATTTTTCGAAAAAACGTGAAAAACCGAAAAAACGAGCATTTGAGGCGAGAAATTTTTCTTGACGACAGGTTAAATAGACTGAAAATTGAGGTGAATTATTCGTGATTGAAATTGAACGCATTTCGAAGCAGATCATTTGTTCGGGCACAGCACATAACCTCACACTCTGAGTCGGGACTGTGTTTCATTATTGAAAAAAAAGTGTGTAATTTCAAGTGTTTTTTCTTCGCGTCTTTCTTTGCGAACACTAAAGTAGTAATCAATATAATATTCATATAATTAAAAGAAGAGCAAATAAAAAATGTACTCATGTTGTGAAATTTGATTTTTTTCTGCATTTTTCGTTGACAGATTCTAAGCTGTTAGTGCATCACACACCAATTGTACTGTCCGATACACACACACACAAGAAACCAACAGCATTGTGGTGAATTGATCGAAATTGTGGACCGCCGAAGAAAGTCACATCGCCACATCAAAGCTAATTGTGCCGTTTGGAGGAGTAAGTATACGGCATTTTTTTCTGTAAAGAAAAAAGACAAAAGTGATTTCAATTCTTAATCTCTCTCTACCATATAACACTAATGTGAGAAACAATCCTACTTTGGTGTTGTCTATCAATATGAAATGAAATTGTCGCTCATGGTCATGTTATTAAACCTGATTTTTTTTCTCTGCATTTTTTGTCGACAGACTGACAGGTTTTCGGGAAAATCGACCAGAATTGATCGAAATTAAACGGGATTTCCGATTTGTTTGGCCACATCACTTTCTGCCAAATTCCAAGGTAAGATTTTGTTTTTAACAGTATCAATAATCAAATAAAAAATTCAGTACAACTGGTCCGCCAACCAATGCCAACGTATCCTTTGGCACCAAACGAAAATCATCTCGCAACACTGCAACAGGAAGAACAGAATTTAAACACAAAAAATTTGGAGCGTACACATTATCAAATAAAAAAACTTCTTTCGAAGTAATTCCTCGTGACGAATGCGAAAACAAAATAGCTGATATCAATTTAAAAAAATCATTACAGAGCGATTCTGAAATTAGTTGGAAGAATGCAAAAAAAGCAATCCAAATCGCTCCGAAATGATTTTTTAAAATTGATATCAGCTGTTTTGTGTTCGATTTCGTCACGAGGGATTACTTCGAAAGAAGTTTTTTTTATTTGATATCAGTTGTTTTGTACCCGAATTTTTTTTCAACAAAACTAAATAACACCAAACAAACACAAAGTGGTGTGTATTGAGCCAAAGAAAATGAAACATTAAATGTTGTAGTTAATCATCGTTTTGATTTTTTCATGAAAAGTACTTTTTTGTGTTTTTAGTTGATTGCGTGGAATAAAAAGACTTGGTGAGGGGCTGGTATCTGAAGGATTTTATTCATCTGAACGCAAAAACACTTTGGTTATGATTTTGCCATTGTTGACGGCAACAAAAATAAGTTTTTTTTTTTTTAAGTTTTAGTTGATTTTTTCGATTTTTCATGTTTTTTCCAACTTCTATAGATTATAATGGCTATATCTCGAAAAACAGAGTTTTGCCAAATGTCAAATTTTAGCTCTAATTTGGGGCTATATTTGAGGCAATTTTGAAAAAAATCGTCGGAGCCGTTATCGAGAAAATGGCCGATTTGTGCAAGGCCATAAATTTTTTTTTGCAAACACTAAAGTAGTAATCAATGCTACTATCAATATAATATTCATATAATTAAAAGAAGAGCAAATATCAAAGTACCTGATACCTTTTCGTGCTTTTTGACAGATGTACTAAATTGAATGTTTTCAATGTCGCCATCTGTGGTTGGTGATACAAATATCTTATCACATGGTTCTGATGAAGTTTTTATTTATTGTTTATACAATTTTATACAAAATCACTTTTTCATTCATAAACTCAATTCAGAAAAGAAAATCACAGTCATTTCAACAGTCGAGTTATTTTGCATGCAAAATGCCTAAAACATAAGAGTGAGAAAATTGTCATCATCAAGTTTACACGGCACGACCAATTTCAAGTGTTGCAACACTAGTACAAAATAATAAATGGCAAATCATTCTTTTGTCTCTTTGTGGACATTAATTCCCACATTTTCGATAGAAAGTGAATTTTTTCACACAACTCATAATTTCACAATCACGTGTTCAGTACATTTCATTGTTCAATACCGATATTGAACACACCCTAACATCAGCAATGGTATCTGTCAAACTTTACGCTCTGAAAATGACATTCATGGCAAACATTTAAAAACAGTCAATATTTTATTTTTTTAATTTTTATTTGGGAAAACTAACATAACATTCACTTTCGAAATCGTACCAAATATTACCCCTCATTTTTAAATATTTGAGTTCATTTTTACGGATCTAACGAAATATTTGAAAATTGTCGTGCCGAAGTGGTGTTTAGACTATACAATTCGGTTGTATCGTTTCGGCACGACAATTTCCGAAGGAGTTAGGTGTATCAGAAGTTCTGATTCAGAACACCGTGCAAATATTTTAACCATAGGTTCCTGGATTTCAAGTTTGTTGATTTTTCAGCACTTTATATTTAACGCCATTTTAGCCACTTTCGGCCATTTTTGATCGATACTATTGTACCAAATATGACAAGTTTTTAAAGAGGATATTAATACCTTTCAAGCAAGTTTATGCAGCTGTGATGAAAAAATGCGTCCACAACTTGGAACTTTGGTATAGTAGCCGATTGTGGTGGAAATTTTTTTGCACGAGACTCTGATACACACTGTATAAGAATTTATTTGGGTCTAATTTTCAATTAAGTGTTTAGTACATTCAAGTATTTAGGTACACTATCAATCAACTCAACATCGATCAACAAATATGTAAAAAAGAGAATCCTACCGATCCATAAACAAATTAAGAAAACTTTCACAAAATTTGATGATATAATATAATTTTAAGAGTAATAACTAATATTTGTAACTCAACTCAAAAACTGGTTTTCATGATTTACAAACGACTGCCAGAATAAATGTAGGAATAATGAAACACAGAGATGTTGTTTTGTTCGTGTTACATTATAAAATGATTCTTTATTCAATATAAGTGAAGTTGCTTATGTTACGCGTGAGCTGTCACAACCAAAGTGGCTACATACCAATATTTACATTAGGTTACGTTCTTGTATACAACCCACATAAATACTGCATTTAAAGAATTACAAGTGTTAACTGACGGCCTGGGAGCTAGAACAAAACTTGAGAAAAATCAGAAGAAAATTAAAACACAAAAATATATTAGCAAAAAGACCAACGTCAAATTTGCAATAAACATGCAAAAACCGAGTCTACAAATATTGGGTGCAGGACAAAAATAAATCTATGCACAGAGAAAACTGAATTGGTGAACCAGTTCTATTGGTGAAATGCAAAAGTACCAATAGATTACATTATTGAACCCAGACGGTCTATTGGTGAAATATCATTTCACCAATGGAATTTTTCATTTGTATTGGTAAATTTAATACAATAGGTAATGTTAGTAAATTTGTCACTTGTACTGAAATTACCAATACAAATGAAATATTCTATTGGTGAAATGACATATCACCAATAGAATTTTTTTGCTTTAAAAATGTTGTTTTGTATGTGTGATCTATATTATGTTTCCTTCTCGAGTTTTGTACATATTCATTTTGCGTTAAAACTGCTTCTGTTTCATTTTTGACCAATATACACACATTTGCGTTTTGAATTCATTTAATTTCTTTTGGAATTTTCGTTTGCGTCCCCGTTCAAGCAAATGCATGCGGTACATCTTTTTCGGCAATATGAATGCACCAAAAAATACTTTCCTTCATCGTGAATGGTTGAAAAACATACATTTTTACAACATACGCGGCTATGAAATCCATACTGACGACAAAATTCGACATGCCTCTAGTGGTCATACACACAACACACGTTGAGCGATCAATACATAACATACAATACAGCAGGGTTTGAATTTTCCCATCCGCTCGATAGAGCCTCCATAGATTGAATGGAAAGAGTTTTTCAAAAGAGACTCTTTCAGAAGAATCTTTGCAAAAAAATTCAATATTCTGGTAAAAATTACGGCTGTAAACTATATTCAAAAGGTTGGTCTTGATTTATATTTTAATACAATGAAGAGAAAAAACAAAAAAAAAATTATTTATTTTAAATTTTATTGAAATAATTGATTTCATTAATACGACAATCGTATATATACCAAGTATGAAGTTGCAGCGAATGGTGAAATGTCACAAATCGGTGCACGACGTTTGTCAAAATATGGATCAAACGGAATCAATTATTTCAATAAAAGAACATTTAAACCGACATAACCAAATTGTTCGCTGTCTCACTCACGCCAACTGTCACATTGATTCGTTCGTGTACGAATTGCTATTAGCGTAAAAAAGACGTTGTTCGCAATGGCCTCAGTTTAGATGTTCTTTAAAATAAATTTTTTTTTGTTTTTCTTCTTCATAGTATTAAAATATAAATCAAAACCTATTATTTGAATATAGTTTACAACCGTAATTGGAAACAGAATATTAAATTTTTTTGCAAAGATTCTTTTGAACGAGTCTCTTTTGAAAAACTCTTTCGATTCAATCTATGGAGGCTCTATCGAGCGGATTAGAAAATTCAAACACTGCAATACAGAGACGCTAGCATTGGAATTATACGGTCTGCGCGAATGACTTCTTGGTTATCGGCCGTACATACGCTTATGTGATTGAAATTTTCAACTATAACCATAAGCGTCGTGTCAGTAGAGCTCGTCTTATGTTTATATTGAAAATAATTGTTATTGCTGTTGTCGTTGTCGTTTCATACCCGTGAATAGCCAATACATGTGTGCAATAGTCAAGAGGCAAACTGAGTAAAACAAATCGTTTTTCAAAACCTTAACAACAATCAACTTGGAGTTCCATCAATCAACTAGTCATCTAAAAAAAATACATCACATAATTTATACCGGTAGGAGAGGGTAAAAAAAATTCAAAACATCACTTTCCCTTTTTCACACTTTCTAGAGGTGAAAAAACACACCAAACCAAGAGTCCATAAATCAGTGTTTCGTTATTTGAAACTTGCAATACAAACTATTGATTCGCTCTTTTATATCATACGTATTAGTAATAATAATCAAAACAGAGAGAGTTTACAACAACAACTCTATATGAAAAAAAAACTTTATGTTGCACTTTAAAACTATATATCAAATATCACCAATAGCTGGGTATTGCGTACATATTTTTCGTATACTTCATATATATATATGAACTATCACAATATACGAAATTCAAAAGGCGCGCACAGTACATAGGAGCTAATGCAAAAGCCATTTGATGTGCATAAATAGCGCCACCTCTAATATAATATATGATTTGGTCAAGTGTTCGTCATAGGATAGCTTAGCATGCACTCCATTTAATACTCGGTATTATATACCGGTATATCGCACACGCAGAGCTGACGCACGCACCTCTCTCGCGCGCAAACGCTTCGAGTTGTGAGTGTATGCCATGTGGTTCTGTGTCTGAATTGGTTGCGATCGTTGTGTATGTAAATGTGTGCGTGCGAGAGAAATGCTCTGCGTGTGCGATATACCGGTATATAATACCGAGTATTAAATATAGCGTCTGCTAAGCTATACTCTCACGGACGCTTGGATGTGGTCATAATTTGTCACTTTCAAAATGGCTTAGTGACATTTAGTGACTGTTATAATAATCAAGTGACACGGTAAATCAATGTATATATAAATATCTTTACAGTTTGTCCCGGTACCGAGTTCGGCATGTCGGTACGCTCAAACCGGCTGAAACACTACCTCCACTTGCGCGATGAATATAAAAATTGCACTCATATCGATGGAAATTTGGAGTTAACATGGCTAGAGGATCCGAAGATGGATTTGGATTTCTTACAACATATTCGTGAAGTGACGGGATATGTTTTAATCAACTTCGTGAATGTAGAAAATGTCGTTTTACCTAGGTACGCGATAAAATTGTTTCGAATCTACAAACTTATGCAGAAAATTATTTCTTTTTTCTTCCTTTAGTTTGCAAATTATTCGTGGTCAAATTTTATTCAAAGTGAACAGCACGCATAACTATAGTTTAATTGTAAACCATTCCACAATGAAATCCTTAGAGCTACCATCATTACGTGAAATTTTATCAGGATCAGTGCTCATAAACGAAACTAATAATCTATGCTTTGCTCAAACGATTGATTGGCAGGAAATTGTTACAGGTATATTACGATAATAATTCAGAATTTATTAAGAACGCAATATTTGACTAGAATACTACAATTACTGCATTCTATTCGTTCCATGTTTTAGGACCATCTGCAATGATCAATGTATCCACAATTACTGGGCGAAACTGCTCTAAATGCCATGCATCGTGCGTTGCCGGTTGTTGGGGCGAAGGCGCACATAATTGCCAGAAATTTAGCAGAAGCAATTGTTCACTACAATGTAGCGAAGGTAGATGTTTCGGCCCAAATCCACATGATTGCTGTCATTTGTCCTGCGCTGGCGGTTGCACTGGCCCAACGAATAAAGAGTGTTTGGCATGTCGAAACCTGTATGATGACGGTATTTATAGGAATGAATGTCCAGAAGGAAAATATGCATACGCAACCAAGTGTATGAAAAACTGTCCAAAGAATTTACTTAAAGATAATGGTGCTTGTGTGAGAAGGTGTTCACCAAATAAAACGACGAAAAATGGTGAATGTGTTACTTGTAACGGTCCTTGTCCAAAGACATGTCCTGATGTAGAAGTAATTCATTCTGACAACATCGATTCGTTCCGTAACTGCACAATAATTGATGGCAATTTGGTAATACTGGATCAAACATTCAACGGCTTTATGCCAGTGTCTGCCGATTTCCCATTTGGGTCTCAAATAATCAAAATGATGCATCCCGATCATTTGGAAGTATTCTCAACTCTGCGCGAAGTGACTGGTTACATAAATATTCAGGGAGATCACCCTGGTTTCACAAATCTTTCATACTTTCAAAATCTTGAAGTTATTGGTGGTCGTCAATTATATGGAAATAAGGAAGCATCGTTATACATCATAAAAACCAGCTTAAAGTTATTAGAGCTATGTTCCTTAAAGAAAATCAATTCAGGGGCAGTTTGTATACTGGAAAATAGGAATCTTTGCAAAAAGTCACACACACATGAATCGAAGATTATCAACAATGAAGCCTCAAACCAATGCAGTAAGTATTTGGAAACCGAAATTTAAGTTTAATCCGTTTTGTATCAAAATGTCATTATACACGACATTCAGGTTTGAAGCTAACCATGTCTAGAGGACCAGTGTCGTTTTTGACTCGAAGAACGCGCGCTTGCGTGTACTGTACATATAAAATGGCATTTTCTATTTTATATTTACTACCGATAAAAAAAAAACAAAACAAAATAAAACCAATGACGTTTTGTATGTGTGCCAATATGTGGCGATATGTATTTTTAAAAGTCAATGAGAAAATGTCCCTATGTTTTATATAAAGCACATATTTAGCTAGCTTTAAGGCTTAACGTAGAACGCTGAACTATGAAACTTATATATTATTATACTGTCAACTACTCTGAAAACCTGAACGAGCCTTAATAACCATAACTGAATCTGTCACTGAATAGCACCTCAGATGTGGTACCACTTTTGAGGTTATGTCAAGTTCGTGGTTTATTTATGAAGTGATGTGGTATATTCACATTATAAATTCGCGCTAAAATCAAACCACATTTGTATAGGTGACAATGATCGTGGTCCCGCTAATCTCCCATGAAATAAAACCGAAACATAAAGTTGGTTTGAAATAATAGTGAAACAAAAAACGCGTATAAAATAAAACTGCAACATGCGCGGAGTCAAAATAAAAGTGAAACATAGCTACGTTGCTCTTTTATTTTCACTCTGTGCATGATTCATTTTTATTTTAAACGCCTGTATGTTTCTCTATTATGTTACCATTCAACATGTTTCTCCTTTATTTTAAAAAACTACCTATCAGTGATAATAAACTGATAAGGAATGCGAATTTCGATGTGGCGATAACACCAATGGATTGAGCACACGAAATACTGTTCTGAAATCGAAAAAAAATTAACTTTTTTTTCGGTTTTTGCCTGTTGCGGATCGTCCTCATGGGAAGTTTGTATGAAAACCTCGGAGCGTCGCTGCTATCGCATTGGCTTCTATGGTAAAATGTACACATGGAAATATCTCGAAAATAGCTGGGTAAATCGGCAAAACGGACCGTGATATCACTCACTAAAGGGAGTGTATACTGTATACACCTGGCTGGTTTGATGGCCTAAAATACAAATCAGGTGGAATTTGGACTGATCCATGGATTTTCAAGATTTGGCCTAATTCTACCAGTTCAATTTCTTTTCGTTGTGGTGAAATGCTATACAGAACATTGGGAATATCACTTTACAGATGCACATAAAAAAGGAAGCACTGGAACGTGGTCAAATCCTTGGAATCCATGGATCAGCTGAAATTTCAGATTTGCATTCTAGACCATCAAACCAGCTGGGTGTTTACACTCCCTTTGGGAGTAACATCACGGTCCGTGTCCACAATACGTTCATACACAAACACGCGCGCTGTTTCGTTTGTTGTTGTTCTCTTTTCTTCTTTTGTTTCTGTTTCTCCAATCTCAGCCGCTACAAATATGCTGCAGCAGGCCATCAGTTGCTGTGTTCGTTGTGTGCAACGAAGATATCTTTATCAATGACCAAATTAATAAAAACTTGTAATTTAAATTCAAATAGCATCATTATATTAACATTTGTCTTTGTTTGTATTTGAATAGTGGCCGAGAATTTATACTGTTCAGACGAATGTACAGACGCTGCCTGCTGGGGATTAGGACCTGATCAATGTTCACGTTATTTTCAATTCATATTTTCATTTTCGTCTTCTTTGTCCGTTCTGATGAATATTCTTCGCACTATTGTTTATCACATCGCGTTTATCACATATTATTCTTTGCACTATTTGGCCAGTTTGATATGAAATTGCTTTTTAATTGATAAACCCAATTTAAAAAGGAAAAAAAACACCTATAAGTATTATTTAATAATTATTTCGACTTTTTGCACCCAACATTGCCTTCAAATTCTAAAACACCGCACGATCAATTTCAAATGTTTAGCTAAGTTTTTTTTTTAGAAAAAAGTCGAATTGGATCTGAAAAACTACCAGTACAAAATAAACAATAAAAAATCAAAAATGTTTTTTTCTTTTCATTTGATATTATAATCCATATGCACTGTCTATTTTCACGTTGGCTTCGGGAATTTAGAAAGGTCATCATCATTGCGTGATATTAAGAACATTGTCTAAATTCCCGTCGCGTACGACTAAATTCACGGCGTCCGGGTTTTGTGAATTTAGAAACATTAAACTTATATTATTATTTTTTTTTCTAAATTCCCGAAGCCAACGTGAAAATATTCAGTGCTCATTACCTGCTCCCCCTCTGTCACAATATTCTCAGACAATCGCCCATTATTATGACAATAATACGGCAAAAACTAGTCCATTCATTTATATTTGTATGATAAACTATGTAAAAATTCCATTTCCTCACACGCACCGCTCTTTTCTGCTGGTATTTCGGGTTCGTTCGATATGGTTCGGTTAATTGCACGGTTTACAGCACAGCAACATCCTTGGAGTTTATTAATTTCTTTGGGGAATTTGTTGTTGCCGTCAAAATTAAATTCACATTTTCAAGTGGCACCTGACCAAAATTTATGCTCTCTCATTTGGACACGGACTTGTAGATTTTTCAACATGTACAGTATGGGTGCGCTGAACAGAAATTCATGACTCTCCGATACACTCACGCATTCAATGAGTCATATCAATTCTGACTCTTTGACTCTACTGACTCAATGACTCTAAAATGGAGTCAGAATCTAATTCATTTCTTATAACTCATGAAGAGCCGGTCACATCTAGTTTGACTCACTTCGGACAAATGAATGACTTCGATTATGACTCATATTGTGACTCACTTCATGACTCAATTGTAAAACAGTGATTCACTTTTCCGAACAGGAGTCATAGAGCTACAGATGGGCGGAGTAAGAGAGTATAATTCATACTCCTACTCCTACTCCCATACAAACGGAAAATGAGTATGTCTCGATATACTCTCATACTCATAGATACTCTTTGAGTATGAGAGTATATACTCTTTGATTTTGAGTATGTCTCGACCTACTCATTTTTTACCCAAAGAGTAACTCTACACCTACTCTATTTCCTACTCTATTTCCAACTCTATTTCCAACTCTTTTTCATACTCTTTTTCATACTCATTTGAGTATGTCTCGACTTACTCATTTTTTTGTGAAAGAGTAACTCTACACTTACTCACTCGTTTTTCCTCCCTCAGAAAAATGTATAAAGGATATATAACTTTTTCTGAGGAGAAAAAAATTGAATTGTCGAGACATACTCAAATGAGTAGGAAAAAGAGTAGGTGTAGAGTTACTCTTTGGGTAAAAAATGAGTATGTCGAGACATACTCAAAATCAAAGAGTATTTACTCTGAGTATATACTCTCATACTCAAAGAGTATCTATGAGTATGAGAGTATGTCGAGACATACTCATTTTCGAAATGAGTGAGTATGAGAGTATATACTCGCGAATTCGCCCACCTGTACATAGAGCTACATTCATACGAAAAAAATTTTATTTCATGTACTTGCCATGGGAATGTACCACAAATCTACTTTTTCAAAAATGTTGACGATTAGTACTCAGCCACCAGACAAGATTTTTGCAATCTGGAAGTGGCATCTGCCAGCACTATTCGAGCACTAATTAAAACATATTATGGTTTACATGAACCTACCCAAACTTTGTTGCACTGTGATATCGATTTTCATAAATTTTTTCAAATTTTTGTCGAATTTGTGCTCGCTCTTGGTGAGAGCACGAATTGTGTAGTCAACGGCACAAATTAGGGGAGGTCAAAACCTTTCATTATCAGTCACCAGATCATAAAAATATTGAAAATTTCATTTGGAATTGACTGTCGGCGCAAAACCCTCAAATCTGTTAAAAGTCGATTTTCATACAATTTTTGGCCCCCCTATTCAGCCGGTCAAGGTTTGAAAATCACTCGTCTGATTGTGTAGATAATTTGTGCATAGCCCCTGCAAATATGTGCATGCATTTGTACGGTCCAAAAAAGACAAAAATGCTCTAATTTTGAGTCCATTTTCTGTGGTGATTTCGCGGTAAATGCCATTTTCACCACTCGACAGGGCAGCATTTTTTCGCGTGTTCGAAAATGCAATTATTTTGTGCATAATTTGTGCATAATGAATATGCCTTCGGATTTGCGATATGTGGTCAATTAATTCAATGTGGTGTGGTGAATATAAGTTAACTATGGGAAATATTGCTTTTTCATGGCTCACGCCAGTCCCAATAATTTGTGCATAATTTGTGCATGTCATTTCAGCCGGTTTCTGAATTTGTGCACATCATCACAGCTCTGTAGTGACTAAAAATGGCATTTCCTTAAGTATTTAAGTGTGACTTTGGTTCAACATGAAAAAAATCAACTCAAATCACTTCCAATAGTTTGTGCGTAATTTGTGCATGCCATTTCAGATGGTCTCTGAATTTGTGCACCACCTCAGAGCCTTGTATTGACCGAAAATGGCATTGAAATGGCTCAGATTTACCTGCATCTAAACAATTATGCTAAATAGACAAATAAAAATGGTTTTGCTTCAACAGCAATAATCGTTGGCGTGTAGAGTAAACACAGTGCGATCAACTGTTGTATGCACTCAACCGATAACTAAAGGATTATTATTGACACTCGTTCAATAAATACGGGAATTAGTCGATTGCATAATCGATTAACGCTCGCTCTGTATGTGTATATGTGTGTGTGTTGCGAAAGATGTGGCACACGTGTTTGCATTACTGATAATAATGCAATAGCACAGTTGCAAATACGCAAAAATTTACATTTCATTGGACCATATCCAAATGAGCGGTCGACTCGATGCACAGGTACACAACATCGATTGACTTCACTGAAAATGCGAACTGAATTTATATACAAATCGAAGCATAACAAATTCAGCGAGTGAGAGAGGAAGAGACAGAGAGAATGGGGAGGAAGAGCAGGAGATGTAGAATGGGAGAATGAATCTAGCAATGAGTGAGCAAGTGAGCAAACGAGGAAGAGAAATAGGAAATTATTACCGGTTATCGCACAAAACTTGGTAAGCGACATAGTTCATGACAAGTGACACAATTCCGATTGATCGGGCTGCAATCTCATGTATGCAGTTAGATTTCATTGAATATGATTTTCATCGAAATTCATATCGTATATATTACAGAACGGAAAGCCAACATGATGCACGTCCACCGAAAATATGCGATAGTCATTTCACCATGTGTGATTTTGAATACAATTCGCAATATCACCATTTTAATGTATCAAATTACGGTTCATCAACAGACAACAATTCAAAAAAGTCACAGCATTTTTATAACAACGATTAGCCATTATCTACATCGCTGTTTTTTTTTTCGTTCAAAATTCCTCTTTATTTTTATTTTTGTATCACAGGCCATTTGGATGAAGAGTCTTTTGTGATCGGTATTTTGCGTTCGGTTCGCAATACCACTGTACGTTTGTGGCCGGTGTTTGGTCATGGTTATGAGTCGAATGCTCGCTTCCTAATGGCATTATCGCGTATTTTAATTCCATACACATTGTCGAACATCGTCTGGGTAAAATGAAGAAAACATAAATTACACACTGAATCCGAACCGATGACCGTTTTGTTGTTTTAATGCGACATCGTTCATTTAGTCACTACTCACGCTACCACTTTGCGATGCGACGTCGATGTTTCTGCTATTCGAATGGTGCGTGTTTTGGAATTCGTAGATAATTTGTGCGCAAATGTGCGAAAATATTTAAATGTGATTTCAAATTCCAGCGACGGCGGCTTTTTTGCCACCATCTGGAAAATGGCATGTTTCAATGAAATGTTGCATAGTTTAACAATGTATCCAATTAATACTCGGCGATTTCGATATTCATTTAGTTTTATCGCAACGCGTTTTTGCAGAACCATGCATACCACAGGCACACTCATTGATAGTAGATATTTACACAGATTGTCAACGACACACAAAAAATAGAATAATATTCAAACAAATGTAAGAGAAATCACATTGAAATGCAACGATTCTCTGGAATTTTCTGCTGAAAATAAAACTCACTCCGTTTTGATATCTATTCTCAATTTTTTTAGTTCAATTGGATTTTTTTCATTGGTTCCCATAATAATTATAATAACAAAAGTTAATCATAATAATTCGGGGAAATTTCGAATCATGCATCGTCACCACAGAAAATGCGAAAAAATACCAAGTTTGGCCAAACCAACAAAAAAAACGAAATGAATTGGATTTGGCCCTTGCGGTAGTGGTGGCATGGTAATAAAAGTATTTCGTATTTTTATGAAATTTATTCAGAAAAATGGACGAGTGAGCGACCGAGTGAGAGTAAGAGAGAAAAAACGAGGAAAAGAGAGAACAAGAGCAAAGGCCAGAAGAGAGAGAGAGAGAGAGAGAGAAGCGCGCATCGAAGCATTAAAATAATAAGGATTGGTGATGAGAGTGGAGTGAAGCGTGTAGATTTTGTGTCCGTTGGTTCATTTTCCGCACTTTGGTAGAGGAGACGAGAAAAAAAGAGCATCCAGAGTGTTGTTCAGTTATTGTATATATTCTTTTATTATATTATATTTTTGGTTACAATATTCATATTGCATTTATATTTCGGTTTTTGGCCTGTTGTTGGCATTTCGAACTGCTGCTATTTTATGGATTTGACACAACAAAAATGTTTTTATTACAATAACTCGGTACGCGTAGAGTAACACAGAAGAGAGAATTGTGTACGTGCTTATGATGCGTATTTGGGTATGATTTTTATAACCATACAACGAATGAATCGCCATCATTTCGGTTACTCTCAATGCATTTGCACCATCTGAAAAATATGTTGCTTTGATCATTGTGCCGGCAATAATAAAATCCATTTTTTTTTGTTTGCTTTGAGTCCTGCGAATGGGAATGGCAAGAAAGAGAGAGAGAGAGAAAGAACAAAACAAAAACTCCATCAT